CTGATAACTAACAAAAGTCCAGTCCCTCATTTAACTTTTTGTTATAGAGGGGCAAAACCAGTAAATGCCTGGAAATGGACATGTCAAAATTACTGTAAGGTATGCTTGCAATTGCCTCTTGGCCAGTACGTAAAATATTTACTAATCAGCATTCCTAGAGTTTACAATGCTGAGTAGGTCAGGAAGGTATGACTCTTCTTGTGCATGAGGAGGAAACCCTGTCCCCCCAGCTAAGTCCAGCAGTCCTAGGTGATGCGTGGGCACCTCTCTGGTGCAGCCTGAAGCATGCCAGGAGATCAAGGCTTCCCAGCATGCCCTTGCAGCAGGAAGTCTGCAGACAACCCACCTGCAGCACCTGGCCTAAGAACCCAGAACTCACAGAGGCATTCTCCAGGTACTGCCCAGGGAGGCCTCAGCCAGAGGAAGACCCTGCTCTGGGGTAAAGCTGGAGGGGACTGGCCTCAAAAATGACTTTGTCTTTCCAAACAGAGCTGCGTTGCTACAATATTGCAGCAGACACTGGATGCAGCACATGGACAATACCATGGACCATATTTTCAAATGGTGTGCATATCTGTGCTTGCCCTCTAATCCAGTTGAATTCCTTTGAGCCCACAAAAATGGGTCTAATAACTACATGACTGACTCTGTAGGTTAACCATATCCTTCCCTTTTTCAGATGAGAAAATGCTGCCAGAGCCAAGACAAGGACCCAAACCTTGCCTCTGAGGCTGAGGCTTTGTCCAGGGAACCACCTGCCACTCTCCATGCTCAATAAACTTGGGCTCAGGCATGCATATTGATTTTAATATTAACCCAATAAATAGGAATTAAAAAGATAAACCTGGTACTAAAATATCTTTAGATAGTACACTAGAGACAAAAAGGGATTTTAAATATGGCCTGTTCAGACTTAAACTGAGTCACATCCATACCGAAAAACAGCAGTATTCTCTCTACAGCTCAGTGGGCAACCAGAGACGCAGAGCAAGGCAGCAGGGCTGTGAGCATTGCTTCTGTTACTCTATGAACATACCTTGTCCTCCAGTTGCGAACTTGGTCCCGTCAGGGTGAATATCAACTGAAAAAATTGGCTTGCCTGGAATCAAAGAAAAAAACACACAACATCTGCTTTGACTTTTCTTCACTGAAAAACAGCAACAGACTCAAACTTTTAAAATATTGG